GGCAGGACAGCCAAATTAGAAAAAAAAATAAAATATATAATAAATTTAAAAGAAAACATAATAAATATATAGTAAAAATTGCTAATAAAATACAACTAATAAAAATTTACCAATAAAATATAATAATATAAATTTAACTAATAAAATAAATACTAATAAAATTTGATTATATTACAATATTAAGACTTTCAAACATTGTAAATGATTATACTTGCCTACTAGATATAAATAATAGAATTAAAAATATGATCTGTATAAAAAATAATAAATATAATTAGCTTATATTTAATTATATATTTTTTGTTTAGATAAAATTAAAGAAATTGTACTATTGATTTAAAATACCTTATTCTAATCACACTAATTAATAAAAGATTTTAAAGATCTTAAATTTTATTAACTAAACAAATATTATACAATATATAATATAAATTTATTTACTTAACTTGAATATCTTGAATAATAACCTTAATGTTTACTAAAAGCTTAATACAGATTAAATTAAAAAAAAACTTAAATTATTTATATATTGATGTAATTAATTGATCTTTTGTGTATTAATGATTTTAGACTTCACTTATTTTAGAAGAGAAAACTTATTGTAATATACTATAAAATATTAAACCAAACATTCTATAGTTCAGTCTCGGATATTACCAAATTTGGATATTGCAAATCATCTCCTTTTTTGTATGATTAAAAAATTCTCAAGGCTTCTATTTAAGTCTATTACTAATTTATGAAGATCTATGAAGCTAAATTTACGCCAATTACTATTCATTTTCTTATTTAGTAAATAACTGCCTTCTAAAACCCTTGAGATCATGAGAGATCTTTAGACTACATAATTATAGGACAATTTTTATTAAAATTAATTTGAAAGCTTATTATTAAATGATTTTTTTATAAAAAGAAATAAAAATACTATATAAATCGATTCTAGAAGAGTCATTTACTAATAATAGATTAATTTTCATATTTGGTAATATTCGAGACTGTAGTTAGTATAAAAAGTTTTTTGTAAAGCATAAAAGTATTTTAATATGCAAGATTATGCTCTTACAATTTAGCTTGCGTAAAATAAAAGCTAAAATTTCAGGTCTTATTTACTTTTTTAACAAAAGTTAACCAAAGTGGATTATTGCAGATTATTTAAACTAGAGGCCTTATACTGTCTATTTGTGTGTCTATTCACAAGTTTTTAATAATAAACTAAAGTTAAAAAAATTTTCTGAAAAAACATTAGCAAAAAAGTATGCAAAAGCCAATCAAATTTAAAAAGTTGTATGTAGATCATTCTAGAATCTGATTTTTATATTTGGTATATTCTTTGACTATAAATTAACAGTTATTAATAATTAAAATTTTATAATTAATTATTAATTATATAATTTATAATTAGTCTAAATTTTTTTTTAATTTTGGCTAAATCTTAATAATTTTGGCCAGAATTACATTTAACACTTAGCTGATCCACCTATACCAGTGTTATAAATTCAAAAAAATTTTATTGATGCAAACACAAAAAAATGTATACAAAAAAGAAATCTATATACACTTTATATATACAGAGAGTGCTGGTATATGCGTAAATTTAAATCTATATGCACTGCATCTACTGCGCAAATCCAATTTATATCACTAACCTATATACCCCTAAATCAGCTGATTTCTGAAAACCTCCTAACACCACAGTTACACATAGTGCTTACTCTTTACATTTAGATTTCTTTTTGAAAATTTCTATTTCAGTATTATACTTGTACTTAAACTTAATCACATCAAAGGTTACAATAACAAATTAATAATTTGTCTCCAACCTGACTTGAACTATCAACCTTGTCTGTGTGAATTTGAAAGCTTAATCACTAAGCTATGAAACCCAAATCTATCAAGAAATTTTTTTTTTTATTAAAGTATTAATGCTGGTTTTATATATTAAATTTTAAGTTATTAACAATTTTTTAAAAGTTCTTTATTTTGGTTACACAAATTTGATTTGCATGTTACACCTAATCTTCAATTCTAATTGGGCTGGTGAAATTCACTACTAGTGAGAATTAAACTTATCCTTAATTTTATTATTTAGGTTGATATTAATGAAGTTGATATTAACAGAAAACAAATGTAGTGTGTTACTTTATTTTAATAAGCTAGTTGAAGTATATAGTTACATTTGATAATACAGTATAATATCTTTTTAAAACTATAACGAATATAATCTGATGGTTGGTTATACTATAAAGTAATAAAGTAATCGTTATAAATTTGATATTTCTTGAAAGTTATCAATATTTTTGCAAATAAATCGATATTTTTTCCAAATCAAGATTTTCGGGTCACTCCCTAGGGGTACGTACTCATTTTTTTCGACATGGCTACAGTATTATAAAACTCAAAACCAATAATTAATAATGTTGTTACTATCATACCAAATTTTTCCGTATAACATTAAAAAATTCCACCGATAAATTTGCTTAAAGCAACTCTCTCTAAGTGCAATTCGTTGCGACCAGACTTTTAGCAACATGCATTTAGAGAACAATTAAGAAAAATTGCATTTATAGAGAATTTATAGAAACCGAACATATATTTGGGCCCAAAGTTAAAGTTGCATTTAGAGAGAAGTTGTACTTAGAGAGGTGCCACTTAAAGAGAGTTGTACTAGGACTGTTTGTTTTACAGACACAATATTGGCCAGAGTTAAAGTATATTTTAGTAATGCCGGTCATTGTTGTGTCCAGAAGCACGTGAATTTGTGCTCAATCGCATGCGATCAACCAATCACGAAAAAGTTAACCTAGATCTTGTTTTTCTGGTTCCAAATCGTGACGTTACACGCAGCAATAAAATCTATAGTGAAAATAGAATTTCTCTATTTGTCGTTATGAACATTCCGGAAAAATTCTCAAAGATAGGAATTAAACCATAACAATAAGGATTTTACGTTATTAAAGTAAAAAGCTTAAGCAAAAAAGATTAATGATGATTTATTAAAAGATGCGTGTTTTAATATGTACATTGCTTTTATATAAGCATTATTGCCAAATCATCAAAGAATTATTGTTTGCAATGTTTTTATAAAATTTCCACAAGAATTTTCCCTTGCCCATTGTAAATCTTGCTTTGAAAGAGTGTTATAGAAAGTCAAGGCTGAACATATCAGTATTTTTTTTTTTTTTTAACTACAAAAAGCGATTAACTTGACTAGTATGTACATCTTGACTTGCTATTTACAATGCGCATTCGGGTTTTTTTTTTTTTTTGACAAACCAAAAAAAAAAAAAAAAAGGAATAAAAAACAAAGAATAAATGAGTTATACTTAGGTATACTTACCGGCTAGCATACGAATATTTGGAACTCCAACTTTCAATGCTTGAATCGCACAAACTATTTTTCAAAGCGACAACATCTTGTTGCGAATATTGCCCCATGAGAACTTTTACCACGACTATATAAGCCTCATCGTTTGTGAGACATAAGGGAGCATTGACTTGTAGTGGAAGTTGATCATTAGTGAGCCGCTTGAGAAATAGTCTAGAATCTAAAAATACATAAATTTGCATCGTTAATTCAAATATAATTAAAAAAAAAAGAACGAAAAGTAATGTATAATAATTAGTCGAGTAACGGCAAGCTTACCAAGGTTATCAACAAAGGCAATCAAATGCTCATTTATATCCAACGCAACTTTTCTAATTAGTGTGCGAGGATCTAGTCGACCAAGCTTTGGGCTCAAAATCACTACATTGCCAAGACTCTCTTTATCAAGCGCAGGTTGTAATTCTTGTTTTACAACTTTCTTGACGTCTGCAACGTCGGCATTATATGGTACGTGAACTTTTATAGGGTCGGTGTGTTGAGGATGTTTAACCCATACAACAAGACTTTCTTCCGGAGAAGAAGACCGCTTTACTGGTGGGAAGAACCAAAAATGTGCAACAAAAGCAACAAATAAAGCAAAAAAGCAAGAAAATACAAAAGTAGGACGACAAGAATGGGTTTTAATAATATGTTTAGGAACAGAACGCCTTTCACCACTTAGAGAAACCATATTTTTGAGAACGAAAATTAAACAAACTATCCGTACCGGTACGTAACTTTCTACGTATAACGATAAAATTTCAGAAATTACCAAATATGTGGGGTCGTCTAAAGCGGAACATAATCACATGATATCTGACCAATCAAATTATAGATTTTGATGATCGCCGGTGAAGCAAAACAAGAAATAAAAACGAAAACCCTGAAAAATACAAAAACGGGTTAATTAAAAATGTCGGGAAGGCAATTTTGCTTATATATAACTACCTAAAACCTAATATAAGATGACCCTAACCCTAAAGTTAATATATATCGATATTATAAGAACCTGCTCCGCTTTAGACGTCCCCCAAATATGTAATTATAGACGCACCCTCTGATAGGTGGCGTGTAACAATAAGAGATTATCGGAATTTCTATATATTTACAAAATTTTGGTAAAATCTAAACAGTTAAATAGTATGTGGTTTTTTTTTTTTTCTTTTTTATCCAAGTATTTAAAGTATGTATTATCGTAATTTTTAAAATGCTGATGAAATAAATTTTCTGAGGATCCCAACAATTTTTTTTCTTTTAATGTTATGCATACGATTGTATTTATAATAATACACTTAGATTTTGTCAAATGACCAAAAAGTCAAAACTATACGCGTTTGGTTATAATACTTTTCGACAAACTCACCCTGAAATTCAGGATGTTATCATTCAGTTTACCAACTGATATAACGGCATTCGCAGACAAAATAATTTGGGCTAATATGAACGCAACTTTGAGCGAAAAGGTAGCCAAAGTTATCAAAACTTTTTGTTCAATAAATCAATTTGTAAACATTTTTATCTAATTTTGTTATAAATTATTTTTTTAGTCTATAAAAAATGAACTGTATTGTTAACGTGGGGTCTTGACTCTGTAGAAAACAAGATAATTTCACTGACTCGTAAATCTTGGCAAAGAATGAAAAAATGCTTTGGAAACAACAATAGCATCCTAGTTTTTCTTGACATTGATGGAAATATTCACTTCGAAGAGGAGGAGCGTTCGAAAATATATGAAATTAGTAATTCTTATGCAAAAATTGTTGATGCTTCTCAATTTTGGACCGGCAATGCTATGATTGTGGTTACAGAGGAAGGTGTCATTTTACAGTCAACTTTTTCGAATCCGGACCTGGATAATCCGAACCCTTAATAAATTCTGTAAAAGCCGAATAAAGTTCGGACTATAGTACTCTGAGAACTGAACTTTTTTTCAAGGGAAAATGTCCCTCTGTAAATTGTAGTATATTAATGATTATTTATCTTATTCAGCCCTTCTGATCAATGACGCATCGGGCTTTCAAAATTTGTGCTGTATTGTGTGTACATACATACATATACGTGTTTATTTTTTAAAAGCCCGGTGTGTCATTGGCCAGAAGGGCTAAATTAGACAAATAATATATAGTTATTGGATGCGAAGCAGCCAATAACGGAAATTATTTGTAAAATAATTTCATTATCTGGCTGT